TTACCAAATTGTTGTCTTTTTCTACGCAGCTCATTTGCGATGATCAACCACATCTTTTCTCCACCTCAACACCAGAATCCTTAAGGCTCTCAACCCACGATTGAATCATGCAATCAGATTGAAGATTCGACACTTGAATGTGTTAAGAATTAAGTGTTTGAGATACTAAAACTTCGAATATTATTGAGTAAGAGAGTTGGCTTTTAAATAGGCTTTACAGCAATTGAAATTCAAAAAATATGCAGACCACACAATAGCTTCCTGAACGTGTGGTAAACTAGAAAGAGAACATGTCAAAGATAACAAACTATCCCTTAACAATAGGGATTTATTAATCCTAACTACACAACTTAAAACATAATGCAACTACTTTTAACATCCTCCCTTAAACTGATTGTTGTTAACAATCAGTTTACATCCATGAATGAGCACACTCCCATTAATTTGCGCAACTTTACAAATGTATCAAGTTTCAAAGGCTTTGTCATCACATCTGCAACTTGTTCCTGAGCATTGCAATGAACTAATTGTACCGTTTCATCTTTTGTAAGTTCACGAAAAAAATGAAAACGTACATCAACGTGTTTGCTGTGTCCATGCATCACAAGATTCTTGGCAAGTTTAATTATTGAGCTATTGTCACAGTAAACGGTTGTAGAACTGCTTTGTGTATGGCCAAGCTTCTCCAAAATCCTTCTCAGCCAAATTGCTTGGCATGCACATGCAACTGCAGCTATGAACTCAGCTTCTGTAGTAGATAAAGATACTACAGGTTGCTTCTTAGATGACTAAGATATTGCACCAGAACTTAATCTAAATACATATCCTAAAGTGCATTTCCTATGATCCAAGTCTTCTGCACAGTCACTATCTGTATATGCAACAAGTTCTTTGTTTCCTTCCTTCTTGTAGAACACTCCATAATCAACTATCCCTTTCAAATACCTTAAAATCTTTCTTGCCGCCTGTAAATGTATCTTTGTAGTATGTTCCATGTACCTGCTAATAAGATTAACAACGAACATAACATCTGGCCGATTAACGGTCAAATACATAAGGCTTCCTACTATCTACTTATAATAAGTGCTATCAATTTTTTCGCCATCTTCATCCTTCTGAAGCTTTTCTCCTGGAACAATTGGATTATGGACCAGATTGCTTTTGTTCATTCCAAACCTTTCTAACACTTCCATTACATACCTTTTTTGACTAATGAAAATGCCATCAGTCTTTTTCACCACTTCAACTCCAAGAAAGTACCTCATTTTTCCCAAATCAGTCATATCAAATTCAACCATCATGGATTTTTTGAATTCATCAAACATAGACTTATCACTGCCAGTAAATATGAGATCATCAACATACAAGCTTATAATCAAAATTTTACCTTATGTACTCTGTTTGATGAACAAACTGGGTTCATGAGGACACTTTTCAAAACCTCCTTTCATAAAGTATGATTCTATGCGACTATACCAAGCGCAGGGAGCTTGTTTCAGTCCATAGAGAGCCTTCTTCAGTTTGTACACTTTCTGTTTGTTCACTTTAATTTCATATCCACGTGGCTTCTCCACAAACACTTCCTCACTTCATTCACCATGCAGAAAGGTCGATTTTACATCTAAATGATAAATGATCCATTCCTTTTGAGCTGCAAGTGCAAGTACTAGCCGGATAGTATCTAATCTTGCTATAGGTGCAAAGACTTCATTGTAATACACTGCATGTTGTTGAACATACCCTTTTGCAACGAGTCGTGCTTTGTATTTGTCTACTTTCCCATTTTCATTGAGCTTTGTTTTATACAACCATTTCATACCAATTTTCTTTCCTTCTGTTGGTAAATCTGTCAACTCCTACGTCTCATTCTTTTCTATTGATCTTATCTCCAAATCCATGGCATTTCTCCATTTTTCACACTTTACGGCTTCATCCAAATGTATTGGATCAGCAGTTGCAAACATAACCCAGTTAGTCATGTCTTCTTCTTCAAAATGTCCTTTTCCACTTTCATAGTCCATCATCCAAATAGGTTGCTATCTGTTTCTTCTTCTATTTGAGTTTGGTGAGCTTCCATCAGTAAACTCATTAGAGTTTTCAACTTCTTCTTCTGTTTCTTCATTGCTTTTTTCATTGAAAACTTCATCTTGTTCATCTTCCCACTCCAAATTGACTGCTATTGTTTCCTCGTGCCTTTTATCCCAATCCCAGCTTTTATTTTCTTCGAAAATGACATCTCTGCTCACAATGATCTTCTGAGTAACTGGATTATACAACTTGTATGCCTTCGATTCTTTACTTACTCCAAGTAGAACACAGCTCACACTCTTGTTATCCAACTCGGTTCTTTTCTCATCATGTATGTGGACATGAGATACACATCCAAAAACTCTAAAATACTTAACTAATGGCTTTACTCCACTCCACGCTTCTTCTGGAGTCCTATCTTTTACCGCAAGTGTTGGACATCGATTCAACACATGAACTGCCCAGTTGACTGCCTCAAGCCAGAAAGCCCTTGGAATCTTCTTTTCATAAAGCATACTACGAACCATATTCATTTCTTCCTCTCTACTATCCCATTCTGCTGTGGTGTGTATGCAGTTGTCAATTGTCTACTTATGTCATCCTCATTACAAAAATTAGTAAATTCTTGGGATGTGAATTCACCACCTCTATTAGTACGCAGACTCTTTATAGATTCACTTGTTTTTTTCTCCACATGGTTCTTAAAACTCTTGAAGGTATCAAAAGCTTGTGATTTTTCTACTAAAAAATACACCTAAGTCTTGCGACCATAATCATCAATAAAGGTGATTAGGTACCTTTTTTTGTTGTTTGAAATGGGTGTAATTGGACCACATATTTCTACATGAACCAGTTGCAAAACCTGAGATGCTCTCAACGTGCTTTCCTTTGGAAATAGATTCCTTTTCTGTTTCCCCACAGACAATTTTTACAAATCCAAGAGGGAGTCTTGAGTTGAGGCAGGTCTTTCACCATCTCCTTCTGTTCAAGAGTCTTCAAGCCATTAAAATTTAGGTGTGCATATCTGCAATGCCATGACTGAGCTGGATCTTTGGGGATGGTGTAAAAGCAAGCTGACACATCTAGCTGAGAAATAGGATGTAGAATGAACATTCTATTTGAGGACATTGTAGTTTCCATAATCAAGCCTCTCTCCGAGTGATAAACTTTTTATCTTCCCTGTTGAAATAAGATTGCTAGTCCTTTTTCTTGTAGCTGACCAATGCTCAATAGGTTATTCTTCAGTTCAGGTACATAGAGTACTCCAGTAATGATTCGTGAGATTTTATTTGACTGAAATCTCACATTGCCTTTTTCTTTGACCACTAGGCTAGAATTGTTTCCAAGCTTTACACTTTCTCTGAAATTTTCATCTAGATCAGAGAACAATTCCTTCTTGCTAAACATATGGTTACTACACCCTGAGTCAAGAAACCACACATCTTCATTCTTTGCTTGGTCATTTTCCATATATGCTATCAAAAGCATTTCTTCTTGTGCTTCTGTAAAATTTGCTTCATTCTACTTGCTTGGACATTCATATTGATAATGTTCAAGATTATGGCAATGATAACATTCCACAATGGACTTGTCAAAGCTTGATGAACCTCTTCCTCGACCACGAAATCCTTCATGACCTCGTCCTTTTCTCTACCTGATCTATCTTCACAGGTTACCTTTAGAGCTTGCTCTTCAATTATAGGAAAACTCATGCACTGTTCATGCACCAATAGAATACTTTGCAACTGGTCAATTGTCAGAGTATCAATGTCATTTGACTCTTCAATTGAGCAGACAATATAGTTGAAGTTTTAAGTCATAGATCGCAAAATCTTCTCAATGACAATGACATCTTTCATATCCTCACCATGAGTTCTCATCTTATTAGCTATGGTGAGAGTTTGAGCAAAGTATTCATTCACTGTTTCTCCTATTTTCATTTGAAGAATTTCGAACTCCCTCCTAAGTGCTTGTAGCTGTGCTCGCTTGACTCTTGCTGTCCCTTAATACTTCTGCTTCAAGGAGTCCCAAATGCTCTTTGTTGTATCTTTGTTCAAGATAGTCTTCAAGATTGATATGTCAATCGCTTGAAAAAGATAGTTTTTTGCCTTCAGGTCCTTAAGTTTCTAACCATCAATGGCCTTCTTTTGTGCCTCAGTAAGAGCAGCTCCTTTAGCTACTTCAAGGACCCCAGGTTCCTCTAAGCTCCAATATTCTTTAGACCGCAAAACATTCTCCATGAGCATCACCCAATGATCATAGTGGCCATCAAGTTTTGGAATTGCTGGCTGAACAAAGTTGCTTTCTGTTGCCATCTTCTTACTACTCACTTGAAAGAACTGCTGCTTTCAAGTCTTGATCAGGCCCCTATAAGGAAGCTCTGATATCAAATGTTATGAATTAAGTGTTTGAGATACTAAAACTTTGAATATTATTGAGTAAGAGAGTTAGCTTTAAATAGCCTTTACAACAACTGAAATTCGAAAAATATGCAACCCCCACAATAGCTTCCTAAATGTGTGGTAAACTAGAAAGAGAACGAGTCAAAGATAACAAACTATCCCTTAATAATAGGGATTTATTAAATGCAACTACTTTTAACAGAATGATAGTCGATACAATTATAAAATATTTTTATTAATATTATATTGCTTGAAAAAAAAATTCGATCGCGTCGAACCATTTTTAACGGACGTGGATGTCTGCAATCCCCACCCTCTCTTCATTTTCCTCTTAGTAATAAATAAATAATTACAATATGTAATAGTATATACACAGATCTCTCAAAATTTCTTCGTGTCCATGTGATGTGACCATCCAAATCAATCCCAATTCCCACATATGCGTACAGATTCACGATCATGACCTAATTCTCGTCTTCCATATCCGATCCAATAACCCAACCCGGACCACTAGACAACAAACCCACCAAATTGGAATCGGAGCCGGACCAATTACCCGATCCATCACGAATGGCGGCTTCGCGTCGGCTCCGGGATCTCCAGTCGCAGCTGGGCAACAAGATCTGTGTGGACTGCTCGCAGAAGAATCCCCAATGGGCCTCCGTATCCTATGGCGTCTTCATGTGCCTCGAGTGCTCCGGCAAACACCGTGGCCTCGGCGTTCATATCTCCTTCGTACGATCGGTCACTATGGATTCGTGGTCGGAGATCCAGCTCAAGAAAATGGAACTCGGGGGAAATGATAAATTAAATCAATTTATGATCCAGTACGGAATCCCCAAGGAAACTGAAATTATAACGAAATACAATACCAATGCCGCCTCTGTTTATCGCGATCGCATCCAGGCCCTTGCTGAGGGCAAACCCTGGCGTGATCCCCCTATTGTTAAAGAAACTTTGAAATCCAATACTATTAGCAATATTAGAACCAACAATAAACCGCCGTTGAGTGGTGGTAGGAATGATAGTTTTGTGAATAATGGAGGATGGGATAATTGGGATAGTTATGATGACGGAGGGTCTACTAATAGTAATTCTAACAATATGAGGAGGAACAATACTGTAGGGGACTTTAGGGGAGGTGGAAATGTGGGCGGCGGCCCAGCAAAGTCGAAATCCACTAATAACATTTATTCTCAGACCCAATTGGAGGCTTCAGCTGCCAATAAGGAGGGCTTCTTTGCAAGGAAGATTGCAGAGAATGAGTCTCGGCCCGAGGGTCTCCCACCCTCCCAGGGTGGGAAGTATGTCGGATTTGGATCGAGTCCATCCATGCCGAGGAACAGTTCTGAGCCGGATGTTCTTTCCACTGTTACTCAGGTGCATCTGGGCAAATTTTAATAATTTAGATGTTTCTAATCCGTTGGTATTTATGTGTGTCTTGTTGCTAATGCTGTGTGTTCTGTGCATAGGGATTTGGTAGGTTTTCGGTGGTGGCTGCCTCAGCTGCTCAGTCAGCTGCAAATGTCGTTCAAGCAGGGACTAAGGAGTTCACTTCTATGGTAGTTTAGTTTTTCGCCACCGCATTGCTTTGTTGCTTGTTTTACTTGGTAATGCACTTCTTTAATGCTTCAGCTACTATGCGGGAACATTTATTTCGAAGGGGTAACAAATAAAGGTTTTGAGTGTTTTAATGTTACGCCCAACAAACTAAGCCTTATCTCAAATACGGTGTACAGTTTAAATATTTAAAATATTTTATGCTAAGTAGGATACACTTTTGGCTCTTGCTTTCTTGTTGATGCTTGCTATCTGGTATCTGGGTGAGGAAGTTTCAACCAATGTTTTTGCAGTTCCCCTTCTTGAAATTTATGTAATCCATCTTTCAAAAGTATTTCTTTAACCTTGATGTCAAAAGTACACTTGACACTCTCTAGGTCTGATGCTTTTCTGAACAATTTCTCTTTTGTTTCCTGAAGAATCTTTCTAAACACGTTGCTAATATTCAAGACTGATTGCCACCATGATTTTGGACTATGCAATCCTGCATTTGCCTTCATGAATGCCATCAAAGTGGTAAACTGAATAATTGTACTACTAAACCACCTTCCATCAATCGTGGTTTACTCGATCTGTTAGCACCTCAAACTTTCACTACCTTCTCCTCTGCTCTCCAAACTATTTTAGTAGAGATTACACGTGGAGATCCTTTCTCCGATATTTTTTGGCTTTTCTGTCCTTGTGCAGGACTTCTGTGTTGCTTGTAAATATTTTCAATTTCTATACTATAAAGTCTCCCCCTCGGAAAGGATTGTGATTGATAGGTTTATCTCAGATGCTTTGTTACTTTTCTGGAAATTAGTTTTCTGGTGATCCAGTGAATCTGCCCATTTGGCATAGATTCACATTAAACTTGTTTTTGGTTGATTGTGGAGAATCTTGAACAGCCTATATAGAGTGGTTCCTATTTTGGTGCTCCCATTTGGTGCAATATTGATAGGGTCTCAACATTTTCCTGAGCCGCATAAAAAAATAGTAACAAGGCCTCAGTAAGTGGGCACTGCAAGTTATATCAGAATTTGATGTAATTGCAAAATTAATTTGCATGGTATAACTAGAGCGATAGTTGAGATGAGTTTCTGATCTTCTAAAAAGTTATTATTTGGTTTTTCTTTTGAAAATGCTGATAGACGTGCATTTTATTCTTTGCTTTTTATCTTTCTGTTTAGTTTATTCCCATTGTACAAATTTTTTTTCTGAAGTTGAAATTTTGATGGCTGGCTTATGTGGGTGATTAAGCGTAATGCATTCTTAATTTAATTCCCTTTTATTTCCTTCTCCAAAATTTTTGAGTATATACAGTATGGTGTTAATCAACATGCAAGTTGATCCTGGTTTTGCAGGTAAAAGAGGGAGGCTATGATTACAAGGTGAATGAAACTGTCAATGTTGTGACTGCAAAAACTTCAGAGATTGGTCAGAAGACATGGGGACTCATGAAAGGAGTAATGGCTTTGGCTTCACAGAAGGTTGAGGAGTACGCTAAAGAAAGCTCTAACTGGAAGAATGATGGCTGGCAACAAAATGAAAACGAGAGAACTGGTTACTATCAGGAGTTTGGACAGGAGTCTAAAGGATGGAATTCTTCTGCTGGAGCACAGCAATCGTCTGCTCAACAATTTAACTCTGCCAGTTCTGGTTCCTGGGATGATTGGGATAGCAAAGACAGTAGGAAAGAAGATTCGTCAAAGGGGACATCATCCCAGTATGGGGATAGCTGGGCAGGCTGGGATGATGCTAAAGAAGATGGTTACGATAATTTTGATCAAAATGCATCTGGTCACAAGACTGCAGGTTATAATGGAAAATCAGGAAACAAGTGGACTGAGGGTGGTTTTCTTTAAGGTCAGCAGTCCCATTCCAATTTTTTTTTTTTAATTTTTTGTCTTTTTTCTTCTTCAAAATTTATTTCCTCCCAATTGAACTCTGTAGAGAACTTGTTGAAATGTTTGCATTCTGAAAATAGTCTATAACTGTAAAATTTCCTATAGTAGGCTTGCAATATGCCCAAGGAAGATAAAGACTGTTTTATGTTGCAAGGAACCTTTATTTATTGAGTTTTATATTTTATAGACTGCATTTAAATTTGTAATGAATTTATTTGCCATTTAATGCCTTAGCATCTTTACTTTAATCATATTAACTCAGCTATTGTTAGTTCGAGTCCCCTCAGGGCCACTGAGGTGAGTACCCGGCCGTAAACTTCAAGGCCCCGTGGATTTAGTCGAGGTGCGCGCAAGCTGGCCCGGACATCCACGGTTATAAAAAAAAAATATTAACTCAGCTATTGTGAAACATTTACCCTTTCCCAATTTGGTTTTTTTGTGAATTGTAAATATTATTCCTGATGGAGTCCATGTACAAGGAAAGGGGGAGATTGAAATCCAGGATTCACATAGTGTTGGTTCTAGGATCATCCGAAATTTTAAATTAATTTATTTGACATCCGGGACTGAGGCTCAGCATAAAAGCTACTATTTCCGAATATTAAAATACGCACAATAATTTGATTTTGGTTCACATGCTGCTTTGGCATGCATCACATATTTGTCACATAATTATCAACTGAACCATCTTCAAATTAAACTCGTCTTCTTGGGTAGAATCACGATGTTGGATCACAAGCACAGAACTCTTACTGTCATTACACAAGGATGCTAACAAGCCTCCAGTTGGTCCCAACTCATTGTATGCATTGTGGTGATTGGCCAGCGCAGCCACCATTGCAGGTGGAAACCCGGCTTTCCCGATCACCATGAGTTTGAATTCACTGCTTTGGGCAATTTCTGAAACCTCTTCCACAATATTTTTAGCTCTTGCTCAATATACTCTGTAATCCCATAGCAGCTACTTGTAAAGTCTGCTAGCAAAGCCTCATCATGCTTCTATTTTAGTCAGCCAAATGACATTACAGATTTAGCATAATTTTGTAAAGTTGCAGATGCTGGAATTATCTTAGTCAAGAGACTATATGCATCTAACATAGCTACCTTGTATAAGATGCAGCATCTATGATTATATGATTTTTCTGCCAAGGGATTCTATGATTTTGTCGTTCTTTTATTTGTCAAAGTTGAAAATTGTTAGGTCAAAGCTTGTGTTGGCTTATTCCGTGATCAAAATTGTTGAGTTGTAATAGGGGGGTTGTGTTGTGAGGTGTTGGGAGTAAAATTAGTACGTTATGTACTATACTGTTAGAAATTGCCCATGGGGAGCTAGGAGAAGGCCAGGAGAAACTGCTCTAGCACCATTTACTGAGACCTTCTGCCCGTCCAGCATCTGAGTTCCTCTTGAGCGGTCTTTTGGGTGGGGAAGCCCTAGTTTCCATCTTTTTAAAATAAAACTTCCTCTAACCACTAATAAATGCGTTTTCTTCTGATATATTGGGGAGTTGTTCATTTTTGAGTGTTTGCGTTGTGAGGAAAGAAAACAAGAGAGCATATTTATACTATATCTTCACAAATCAAATATTGGAGTTTTTATTTTATCGTACAAAAATCAACACACAAAAAAATCCTCTATGATTTCACTTTGAGAGTATTCATGGATGCAAGAGGTAATCAGAGTTTTGGTCAAGGGAGAACGAGTTCGATCTTTAAGATTCTTGAAGAAAAGCTGTCCAGAGGTTATGGAGCAGGTGCATGTGCACACAATCGAGGAGTTCTTCAGCTATTTACATATTGAATGTCAGAGTCTACTAATATTTAGTTGTGTTTAGTTTAAAATTGTAAGTTAAATCCTTTCTAATGGATCTTTTGATGGCAAAGAGTGCCTCGAAAGTTTTTTCTCGAAGAATTCTTCAAGAGATTTTTTTTTTCTTCTCAAACAATTATGGTTTTAGTTACGGTCATGCACAGTTTGTGAATTCTGCAATTTTAACATTGTTTTGTATGATTCTAGACTTACTTGTGACTTGTTGCAAATAATTATTGGCAACTTGTTAAAGGAACGATTTCAGTTGCAGATTCTCATTTACCTATTCACCCTCCCTCCAGGTGTTTGTTGGGTCTTATTTTCGCTTTACAAAAATGAACAAGCTACTTGAGTATCTCTTATTTTGCTGATAGAGTAACTGGGTTTGGAATAAAAAATTAAAAAGTAATTTTATTTGGAATATCTAATGTTTACCTTCTTCTCTCTGCCAATGTTGAGAACAACTAGATCCATTTAGTTGATTTTCTTGAACATCAGTTTGGATGCTCTACTTCAAGCCTGTTGTAAAGCAACTCACTTGCGAAAGAGATTCAACTTTAGCCAATAATTCTTCGAATCTCCCTTTATATTCTACTACTGCATCAGTTTGCCAAAGTCGAATGAATGGATATTCAAACTGATTGGGACCAAATCTTGAAAGAAATTTTGCCCTTGAAATTATTGCTGGTGACAAATGATTTCTTGTTCCGACATATGGAACCAAAGTTGAGCGTCACCTTCCAGATAGAAAGAGGCTAAGGCAACTTTATGTGATCGAATGTATTCGTTGAGTCTTTGCCTTGCATACCCAAATGGTTGGGTTATCCAAACCTTCGTAGGTGAGGGAAATCGAGCTTCAACCGCTTGGAATTAAATTGTTGAAATTTCAGCTTGCGGTATTGCCATTACGTCCGCCACAGTTGTTGGCTAAATTTCTCGGGCTTCAGATACTGAGCTTCCATCATCTAAGTGAGATGACTCAGTAGGCCATTTGCAAGAGATTCCATACCCTTCTCGAGTGTTTTGTGCGCTCTTGCTAATCTATGTATGACAATCTATTACCAAGGGACTGCTTGGGAGTGTTTTTCAAAGTATTAGTTTTGAGCGCTTATGAGCTGTATGAGTTTGGGTGATTTTTAGTAACGGTTTTTAAAAATATTCAACTTATATTTTGAAGTTTATTATTCAATGATTATAAAAAAAATTTTTAAATAATATATACCGCTTAGTGAAATTTTCAATTTATAATTTCATGAATGAAAGTTTTTACTTATAAGTGATGTTTTACTTATAAATAATTTATTAACATATAAATTAATTTTTACTTCTATAATTAATTTTTCTACTTATAATTATATTTGAAGTTATAAGTAATTTTTTAGTTATAAGTTAATTTACAGTTATAAGTTAATTTTTGTTTTTTAAGTAATTTTTTTTCTTATTAGTAGTATTTTTAGTTTATAAGCATTTTTTTAAACAAAAGTGAAATTACAATTAAATTTTTTAGTTATAAAGTAATTTTTTTGCTTATATATAAGTTTTTTAGTTATTTTATTTTTATTTACTAGTTAATTTTGAATAAAACGTGTGGATTGGAAATAATTATTTTTTAAAGGATAATACTATAAGAGAATTTAAGAAACGATCAAAACTCATTTATCTGGTTGGTTGATAAATACGACCTAACCATTACACTACATCAATTTTAGATTATTTTTAAACTAACCAAAATCAGTGCTCAGAAAAACTAATAAATATAGATTTATCCAATTTTTAATAAATGATGACACCCAAAAACAATTAAAATCCATTAGGGGAAAAAAAGACCTCCAAGTCAAGCGCTAAATGATACTCCGTATTGAAAAATAGAAAATTAAAGAGAAATGATGAAAATTGGATTAATTCTAAGAAATTCAAGCCTCCCAAATGCTGGTCTTCTAGGAACCAATAAACTCCTCGATAGTTTGCGGAATAATTATCCCATTAATCATGAGGTTAATAGAACAACAATCTTGAATTTTGATTTGTTGAAAATTAGTGCCAAGAGAATTTTAATATGGAGAGGATTTTATGCTTGATTGTAGTAAAAAAGAATGAAAGAATTGTATCCATTCGTTCAAAAATTGTCCCACCTTCATTTTAAAAGAGTGGGTTACCTCTAGCAAAAATACCAACGAGATGCTAAATTACAAGTCCTCACTTTTAATGACGGTAACGAGGAGGGAATTGTTCAATTAATTGGAAAGGAAATGGGGATAAAGTCCATTCCCTTAGTCGGATATGGGATAGGGACGAAAAACATGATTCCTACCCCTTCCAGATTAGTAAATATACTTCATTTTAACTATTACATACATAAAAAATTAACTACAAAAATGAGCAAGATACGCAGAAGATGGGGGCCTTGCCTTCTAGTTCCCTTTCACCCATGCCATGATGCTTACACGAGTTTGACCAATCTCTTGCCTCAATTTCCAACTGGCGAAGGACAGATTGGGAGCTGAGAAGAGTACGAATCTTGCAAGAGATTACATCCTAACTTGGGGTTCAACTGACCGAGGGGAAGTTGTTTGCTGACTTGTACAACAAATAATCAAGATAGCTAGGCCTCCTTCCCCTTCTGCCTTCTTTGTATGATGTAGTAGTAGATGACGCTAGAGATTTGAACATAAATAGCTTTTACCTAAAATTTCTTTACCATAGGGTAGATCTTTTCGGTAGTGGACAATACAACGCATCATTTGTACTTTAAGACATGAAACTAAATTTCGTGAGAGAATATGTGTGTATATACAAAATTCAAGACTAGTGTCACAAATGCACAAATCAAAAAAATAAAAAATGAAATTTGGACTTAATCATGACTTTCAGTATGACGGTGAGTGTCAATTCACCAAAACAATAAAAAAAAAAAAAATCATTAAAATTTGTATGTAAAAAGGAGCAATTAACACAACAAGAAAATTATTAAAAATCGATTGAAAATCAAAAGGTTAAAAGCTAAAGAAAGAAAATCTTAGAAACCCTATCTTTCACTCTAATAAATTAGTCCCTGACACTTTAAAATTTCAACAATTTTCAACTGAAACGCCTTTTTTATTTGGAATTCTATTGGAAACTTCTTAAATAGAAAATTCACCCACATAACTTGAAGGACCCCAAAAAGGGGCAAAATCTTTGTCAAAATTCTGGCGGAAAAAGATTTTTTTTTGTTTTAAGGTAAAAAAGTTTAATGTATTTATAGGACAATTCATTATAGAGTGGACAGATTAATAACTAAAGATTTTCAATGTCTGACTACGTAATTTGTAAGTGCAGTTTAAGTTTTCTGATTTATTTTTTTTAAAATTGTATACGTAATATCTTGTTCATGTACAATTTTACTCCTCTACATTAAAGTAGTTGTTCCCACGTATAAAGAAAAAGGAGGGGGGTTTCAATTTATTTATTACTTTCTTTAAAAAAATATAAAACAAGAGAATCCAGTCATGGTCCGTAGACTATTCGTTTCATGAGGTTTATTAGCGAAAGAATCAAGGGAACAATACATAATTACTATACTATAATTATCACATTTCAAATTAACAAACTTGTCAAATTATTTCAAAATTAAGGTGTTAATTCCAATTAATAATATATATAATACATAATTAATTGGACCCCACCCCACCCTACATGATTTTTTTTTAAAAATTGAAAACCCTTTTTCGGAATTACACCCTCCCCCATAACCACCCCACTGACCCTTATCCTAAACTACCCGACCTCCACCCTATAGAAATTTTCCAAAAATTTTAAAATATTTTTCTGAAGATTGCACTCCATCCATGGACTAACTTTGTTTTCTCTAACCAAATTTATTGTTTGCGACCATGCGTGTGTTATGTATGACTAATGAGGACCAAATTTGTCTTTAATGTCTGTCTAATTTGTAACTATATGTAACGAAGTCATTAACATGTGTTGTCCGTTACTAACTGTGACCAAATTTATCTTCAGAGTAAATGTTGTTAATCTTAACTGTGAGGATATGTAACCAAGTCACAACCGGTCATAATTGGCACAGATTTGGTCACAACAAGTTACAATAAATATGTGTACATCGCAGACTAACATCACCATTCACCACCACCATCACCTCCAATGCACCACCGCTACCACCTTCAACTCAAATTTACGACCATAAGAGCCTGTTCGGTGCACATTAAAATGAGATAATGCATTTTTTAAATGATGTGATGAGGAATATGTTGTTAAAAAAGAATGAAAAGTTATTGATTTGATAGAAAATATTATTTTTTTGAAAAATGTGTGGTTGAAAATAAGTACAAGAATGAGAATGAAAATTTTAATGGGTACCAAACACACCCTAAATCTGTAACAAATTTTATAATTCATAATTCCCAAGGTAGGTTTTGGGGGGTGAGGTGTGTGTGTGTAACTAGAAGGCTAAGGAAAGAAACAAAATGTCACCGAATGAAACTCCGTACTGATAATTTTTAGCCTCTGTTTGTGGTATATAACTGCACACACATAGAAACTATGTCCTCAACTGCAGAAATAAATAATTGCTTTTCTTGAATCACTGGTGGTATGTATTAATGCTTACTTTTGCACTAACATAAAACTATCTTGCTGGAACCATAGGATTGTCAATGACTCAAAGACCATTTTAAATCCCAGTTTGACAAAAATAGATCCTTGTGTTTTGACATGAAGCCAAACCATACCATTAATTTAATGTATGTGACCAAACTTCTTTACTTGACAATTTGATCACACGAGGGACATTTAAATACCAGTTGAGTTAAAATACCTGAATGGGAACAAATGTGAGCTTTTCAAACCCCATATATCCTATTCCTCCAAAGCGATTTGGTGTGTCAATTTCCTTCACGAAAAGAAGATTCTGCATGACAAGAATGGATCGATAATCATTATATAAGAATATGAAAGAAAAAGTAACAGGTAAGGTACTTGCAACCTCTGTTACTTATTGGATTCTTCAACATGAATATCATGTGGCTGGCTCTCCTTCATTGTACAAATAAATTAATTAAACACTTGGATGTACACCATTGTCATGCACTCATATATATATATATATATATATATATACAGACGGAAATGTAGTTGTCAAATTTTAAAAAATATGCTTACGTATCAAAACCTCATGAACTCCAAATTTGATAACTTGGACAGCCCCTTTTTTGCACGTATTTGAACTTTAGTTAGTGAAAGACATAATTTTCAGGGGAAATGGAAGACGTGAAGTGGGGAAGGGACATAAACAAATAGGAGGCATGAAAGAAAGAGAGAACAAGTCTAGAAACTCCCACGTCGTTCATGGTATCGATCTGATGTCATACCAAAAGACCACTCTAAAATGCTGTCTCTCAAAAGTTGTAATGACACTGGAAGTCTAGAGACACTTGAGGAGTCATTGTTAAAACACCTCATCTAGAAGCTTAAGGTGTTATAGTAAAGAGGAATTTATTATATTTAATCTTCAACATGCCCCCTCGCGTGCCTGCCAAATTTTCTAATCAATGGCCTGACACGTGGAATTTACATAAATAGATGGCATTGAGACTTGAGCCCGGAATTTTTGTTACTCTGATTTCATGTTAAACTACATCATCTAAAAGTTCAAACTATTAAAGATGGAGGACTTCTGTCTATTTACATTTTAATTTCAACAATTCTAAAGAAAGTGTCTGATGAAATTATTTCCATGTAAGCAGATATAAATCAAAGCCCAAGATTGGGGATTTTGGCCAAAAACCTCGAGCAGCTACAGCTTACATACTAAAATATGCAGGGTGAACAAAATAAAAATGATTAATGTAAAGCTTCTTAAAGCATGGGCAACCAAGAATGTTTTGATTAGATAAAGAAGCCCACTCATGATAAAGATAATTAAAACACAACTATACCTAAATTAATACATACCTCAATCCTGATTCCAAAGGAATGATCTTCATAATACCCCGGTTCATTGCTAACAACCATGCCTTTCAGCAAGGGAGTCATGTTCCCAAATCGGAAGCTGATACTTTGGGGGCCTTCATGAACATTTAGTGCAGCTCNGTGGGACTTGTTTGCCCCAACAAGAGTGCTACTAATTTTTTCGGAGATTGACGTCGTTGTTGAAGACCTGGAGGAAGCACCTGGTACGATGGTGAAGGAGTTGCACACCGCTACATGCATGTGTTCTGCTTCGCCTCCTGCAGTAATGAACCGCTGTGTGCAGTCGTCGAAAAGATGGTACAAGGAGTGGGAGTGGGAGTGGGAGTGGGAGTGGGGGTGGGGTGGTGAACGCGACTGTTCTGCTCCGCCTCGTGTAGTAGTGTACCGCTGCATGCAGCTGCTGTCTTTGACAGTTCTGCTTCATCAGAGAGCTGGTCCAAAGAGTGGGGGCCGAGTGGAGGGTGGGTTGGTCGAGTGGAGAGAGAGAGAAGAATGGTCTTGGATTTGGGAGTTCGGGAATAGGCTGCAGTCGGGTTACTACGTAGATTAAGTTTAGTTAAATTCTTTTTAATTATAATTAGTAATATCTAATTACCATCTGATATATGAATTTTAAATTGGAGAATTCTTCTTGTACATTAGGAGTGCCATAATAGTGTTCATAATGGACACATGGCACCCCTAATGTACTTGTAGCACTTTCCTTTTAAATTCATCTACCTTGTTTATGAAAACTAATATTTAATTGTAGGTAATTTTCTCAAGAATCAAACCTAACACAATTTGTGGACACGAGCTCAGCTCATTTGTTCTGCTTGCCCACCCCTAATTACAAGCCACGTAAAGGCCAAGTAAGAGCCAACCTTGCAAAAGTGCATAACGAAATAAAATATATAATTAATTCAATTTACAAAATGACAAAACATTCCTCAAAAATCAACTATGAATGGGTCATTAACACAACGATTAAATGTTTAAAGCTAAATGAAGAAAATATTAGAGATGCAATCTTCCACTATAAAAAGTTTGCTTCCAGATCAAGGCAAAAATTAGGATAGACACACTTGAAAATTGTAGCATTCTCCAATTGAAGTGTCTTTTTGATTGAGATTTTATCGAAAACTTTTTATTTCTTCTTCTTCTTCTTCGAAAAAAAATGTTCACCCACATCACACCCAAAAGGTCCCAAAAAGGAGGCAAAATATTTAAAGTACCTGTTATGAACATTTATAAGCGGATCTGTTACGAGTGATTTTAGTAGTTATTTTTAGCACAGTCGAATTCATGCTTGAAAGTTTATTATCAACCAGTTCTAAGAACTTTTTAAAAAATTATATTTGCATATATATTCGTTAGTCAAATTTTGAGTTTATGGTTTCTTGTATGAAATTTTTTACTTATAAGTGATATTTTACTTATTTGTATTTTTTTTACATATAAGTTAATATTTAACTTAAAAATTTAAATAAAATTAAATATTTACTTAAAATTTTATGCTAGTATTTCTTAGTTATATAAAAACTTTATAATTATAAGTTAATTTTGTACTTTAAAATGATTTTTACACATAAGCGATTTTTTTTACTTGTAAGTAACTTTTTATATTTTATAAGTAATATTTTGTTTTATTAGTACGATTTTTACACAAAAATGATTTTTTTTATAATACTTTAAGTAATTTTTTTATTATAATATAATTTTTTTAGTTAGAACATTTTTATTTATAAGTTAGTATTAAATAAAATATGTTTGTTGAAAATTCATATTTTATAAAGGATAAAATTAGAAGAGAATTTGAGTGACGGTAAAATATCGTCGATTTAATAAATTGAGGGAATTGATCAAAATTATACTATACTATTTTTGAATAATTTTTAAATCATAAAAAAAAAAAATTGGTCCCTAAAAAATCTAAAAAGCACCAATTCTTTCAAGTTTTAACGGGGACACCCGCTGGTAAATAAAACTCCCAAGCAGGCCCTAAGGGTTTTCGGGTTTCCCTTGATAGTTGACATTGCATTGCAGTGATTTCTACTCAGCTTCTTCATCACCAAACTTGGAAGGTAGTTTCAGATTTATTTGAGTAAACACGGGCTTTATATGTTGATTGTGCACTCGATCTATCGATTGTTGTGAATGATTTAGTTTCAACACAACCTCTTATCGATCTAAGATTCCGTCCTGCCTTACAGCCATTTTCATCTTGTAGCTCCTTAGGATTTATTTATTTATTTTTCGAAATTCTTGTTTCTTGATGATCTTCCTCTAGCAATGAAAATCTGGAGATTGCTAGCGGAATTGTAAGGTTTCTCGGCTCTCTGTAATCACATTGCCCTAGTTTCTGGACTCCATACGTACCTAATCCTTGGTATAACCCACTTGGGGGCTGGGGCCTATACATTTACTGGCTGAATTAACCAACAGAATGGGCATGTCTACATGCTAATATTTAGTCGTTTCGTCTATTTGGGTCCAAATGACGATTTAGGACCAAATTAGTCAAAATGTGTATGCGTAAGCGCAAATTTATTTCAGATATGATAGTATGTGTAAGCGCAAATGAATTTGAGATATGATTGTGTGTCAAGATCTGGGTGAGATAGAACAATAGTAATTTGCACATCCATGATTAAGTTTTGGTTTTCATTTCACAATAGAAGTTTTGGTTGTAAAGATATATGCCAATTGGTTTCCGAATAGAAGTAGTGTTGGCGATAACCAATTTTTTGGTAATAATTCTGTTTCTAATTTAAATTAGCGAGAGACAATCCATAAGGAATAATGTTTGGATCTATCATGAAGATATTTCCATCTACATTTGAGTTGGAAATCTCACTCTTCAGTGTGTGCGCGCATGACGTGTATATGTTTTTCATTTCACCTTGTGCTAGAATGGCCTCTTATTATTATGCCCCTCTTTTGGCTCCATTTTTCTAAAAATTCATTTTCAACCACACATTTTCCCAAAAAATAATTTTACACATAAATCGAAAACTTTACCTTAATTTTTAACTACATTCTCCAAAAATCACTATTTCAAAACATATTTCCCTCCAAAAAGGGGGTTTAAATAGGGGCTATATCTGCTCTAAAGGAAAAACTACACATGCTTGCACGTTTAAATTGTTCGCCTTTTTTACAGACAGACAAATGGTTCAGTTTCTGTGAATATCATGAATATCTTCACCTTCTGTGTAGTTATTGTGATAGATAGTATTGGTGTTTCTTTCACTGTGTCTTGTACATATTGATCAAACCCTTCGTCTAAAACGGTGTCTTCTTCTCTTAATTGTGCCAATGCAATAACTAGACAAGCTAGCACTCCTTAGTTGCTTCTTCTATCTGCATGCTTTCTTGTTTAAAAAGGAGTATTTTGAGGCATTGGGACTGGAAGACAGTTTTTAGTACTCACCTGGTATACAAGGATACATTGTAGGATATTTCAGCAAGATAAATTTTTTAGTAATTCTAGACGTAGGCACATGACCTTTGTAATTTCTGCTTAGTTTGGTTGTTCTCATGAGACCCTTTTTATTGCCCCTGAAATTGGCTTTATTTATTCCTTAATCTTTCGACCATTGCTATTTTACTTTTCACAAGCAAAATCTCTACATAATCCTGAGAAATGTCATTCTAATAGCATCATTTCATCTTTGTCTCCACTTCTGATATCCCTACACTTTCCCTACTTGACACGGAGTTTTGATGAATATAAAGATGACCTTGAAATCCTTAAAAAATTTATGTACTTGGACAACAGGACAAGCATGAAATTTGCATAGAAAACAATTCTGGGGAGACGGGGAATCATGAACTTCAGAAACGTAGTTATGATCTCAATAAGTGGTTGTTGCCTGGAGGGTCATCGGACTTCTACTTAAATAAATGTGTGGCAAAGAGTGGACTAACAGCGAAGGTTGCAGTCACTTAACAACTAAAAGTATTATGCCTGTGTGGTCTGACTTTGTCAATTGTCACCCACAAAACAGCATCGATTTACAATGTATAGTATGCCCCTGTTTGGTGGGGACTAAAATTAGATTTTTAGTAAATTTTGATAAAAGTTGATAAAATGTGTGGTTGAAAAGTTGTGGGTCTGGTCCCATGAAATGTATGGTTAAAATTAATTGTTGATTTTGATTTAAATTTTAATTTTAATCCTTAACAAATAGGGGTTATATTTCTTCTCTTTGTTGATGGGCCGTTTGCAGAATAGAAGGATATCCTTCAAATTTGAAAAGAAGGTTTGCACGATGGGATTAGGCAGTAGTGTGTGTAGCTTTGGTGGACTAGTCAAAATGAGTGGTTTCCCTCCTTTTTTTGTTATTTCCATTGTCTAATGCATATATAATATATTGGGACCAGTATACTAATTGTGATTGTGTTACACGCTTGGGCAAAGTCTTTTCATCGATAACACTGGGATCTGCTACTAGGACAATTCTCAATAGCACCAGTAAAAATCTTGTTCTGATCTGTTTGACTAGCCAATAAATTGAGAAAGTTTGTTATTTATGCAGATGATTGACGACCAGGACTTGGGCTTCTTTGCCAATTTTCTTGGCATCTTTATATTTGTGCTGGTGATTGCTTATCATTATGTGATGGCTGACCCGAAATACGAAGGCAACTGATGAGCTCCTTTTGGTTTCCATCTGTACTACAAGTTGATGTCAGTTCAGTTTTTCACTTTTTCTTTTCGTCCTTCGTTATCAGGATGGGATATATATTTGATGTGCAAGACTCTTCCTGTTACAGTGAATTTAGTCTTTCTGCTTATTCATAAATAATATTGGAAGATAGAACTTTGCTTCGGAATTTGACTTTGTTATTTATTTATATCAGATTTTTACAAATTTATTCGGATTTCAAGAGTCATGAGCTACATTAATGTGTGTTAAAAATTAAATTTTGTTTATGCCTCGTGGCATTGGGAAGTGGATATAGTAGAAAAGGATAATTAAAAGTATACAAGAAGTTTCGCACTTCCCTCACACGGGGAGTGGGGCCTGTGATTTTTAAAATTGCGTGCCCTCCCCCCATGTGTGGGGAGCATCAAACTAGATGTACACAAAAGTGTACATCTAGCATTACTCAGTAGAAATTGTAACTGGACTATTTTACCATGTCTGCCACCTCATTCGTGTGGTTAAAGGAGAGGAGAAGGGTTTTCTGAAAAGTATTAGTTTTGAATGAAAGCAATAGAGCAATACCGTGGAGCGATTCAATTGTGTGCCTTTATGCTCCTATTAACATGATCGGTTTTCTTGTTGCAAAGCTGATGGCAGTTTAAGGCAGCGAACATTTTCTATTTCAAATTTCGAACCAAGTAGCACAGCTTTGGATTGTTCTAGTTTCCACAGTAAACTCAGTTTGAGCCTCGTTGTCTAATCATTCATGAACAGGAGTTTACATGTCAATCGATTTTTCGACAAAAATGCCATATATTTTGTGTGCATTTGTGTAATGACAATGATTCCATTGATTATAGTTAAAAATTACAAATTATACAAGAAATCTGTAATTTACAATTTTAGAGCATCTCCAAAAAGAGCATATTCTATTATTTGGAGAGCATATATAAATTTAAAGAGTTAGATCATTTACAAGAGGCTATTTTTAAAGATCATATAAAGAGCTTGTTGGAGCAGTATACACAAGGGCCAATAAACCATTCAATATTGAGCTAATCAATGTCTTCTCACCAACCCTCACAAACACATTTCTACTAAGAAGAGTATGAGATATAAGATCACTGATCTCATCTAAATTTCGCTTCATTCAAGAACTAAAAGAAATACAATTAACATGCAAAAAGGCACGCTTCATTCAAGAACAAAAAGAAAATACTATTAACATATAATAAGGCACGGTGCTGCTTGTACAACCAAAATACCATTGCCTTTTGAATCATGAAGACTGTCATATATATTCATTAGGTACTAACATAGCTTTACTTGCATTTACCAAAAAGAGTGATGTCTTTAGTTGCTCAACTTTCAATGACCAATCCTTCAGCCAACCAGCCCCAACATGAAGCTGGAGGACATATATTGGGAAGATTACATCTTATTTTGTGAGCGAGTCCGAGAAAGAAGTCTGAGTCGGGGAGAAGATCGCAACTCATTTCTGGAACTGCAAGATTTCCTCTTTATGCCTCCACTATCGCTTGCAACATTTTCTGCAACATCAGAACACCTCTATCATATATCAAATTACTTCCCTTTGTTAAACGACACCAAATAATATTTGAGGGACTGTTTGAGCCCACTGGATTGGTAGTTGTACTCATTGAAGATAAATCAAGAAAATAAACCACCTAGTATAGAAATCTTCCTGCCCTCAAGGATTTGCTCCACTTTCATTATGTATAGAAGTGCATTTCATCATTAAAATTAAGAATATCTCCCACTATTTGTATATAAAACATTTTAGGCTTCTGCATGCATTAAATGTGCTCCGGTAGTTAGTTATTAAACTATAAACAGGGAAGAAGAGAGAAAGAGAAAATAAATAAAATGGGGAAATTCGGAAATATGTGAAGGAAGCACCAAAAATATTTGAAGCACTCCGGATGGAGAGCGACTTTTTTAGAGACTATGAAAATAATGCAAGTCTCCTTGCAGAGATTCATACTATAGCAAATTCTTTAACCAACTCTAGGAGCTTGTTTGGGAGGAATTAAAATTGAAAATATAGTCGTTATTGGGTCCCACTCGTTTAATAGAAGTCAACAATAACGGCTAATTTTGCAATTTTAATCCGTTTTAATCTCTACCAAACAAGCTCATGGAATCGAAAATAAAAGTCAAGAATAATGGCTAGTTTATCAATTTTAATTCGATTTTAATATCTACCAAACACACTCTAGGACTATAAAGAAAAAGATAATATAAATTATACAGCAGTAAATTAATTATTATTGACTATATAGGCAAATATTGAGTTCCTGTAGGATACCTTCACTCTTTGGAGTGATCTTCAGCTCTGCACCATCAGGTTCGTCAGATCTGCTCTTTCTCAATCTTATGTTAGGTTGTACATTATTCTTTTCAGTATCCTTTTGAGCCATAGAACGTGTCATCCTTCTTGGGTAATTAAGTTTTGCTGCGTCTTCATCAATGATCTCCCTCTTAGAAACATTCTTAATAATCTGCCCGTCTTTTTCCACGAGGCTCTCCTCATCCTCAGCAGGGGATCTACTTGACTCAGCATTAATGGCTGAACCAACTGGTTTCTGGTTTTCAAATAAATCATATCCTGGGTCTACAATTTTATTTGCAGAAGATTTTGATTTGCTGCATTTAGTCGAAATATTCTTTTCAATTCCACTGTTTGCTTCAGCAACTGGATTTTTCTCTGTTTTATTAACTGTTGAATGAGTGAAGCTTCTTGTCTTGGAAGAAGACCTTACCTCTGTCTTTTCAAAATAGGTCATCTCAACATTTTCATGAACTGCTGCATTTATCTGCACTGCTGAGCGAGTTAGGAGACCTGATTTCTGGGGGCTCATCTTGAACAGATGGAATGGCGGGTGACGGATTTATTATTTTTGTCTCCACAGACTGTTTGCTCCTACAGTGAGTAGTCCTCTTCAAATGATTTAGCACCCCTTGGACATGTGAATTACTCAATTTGGAAGTAGTAATTGTTCTGCCATGGATTTGTCCTTTGTGATCAACTGCATGAAAAAAACCATCATCATAATATAGTTGAAACAGAACCTACGCATATGAGGGTAATTTGGGAAGTGCAATAACACTCGAAAAAATCTTGCATCTAATTCTAACAACTACACTATGGGGACCCAACTTATTGTGGGATTGACCAATAAGCAAATAAGTAAACCAGTAAATCAATCCAATCATACATGAATATACATACCAAGATATCAATGAAGCATTTATTAGAATGGTCCCAATGTGAAGACACTTAGTAAAGGAGTGAGGTTTTTCCACTTATTTATTGATGATATACATAGCAATATACATTAATTATTTTCTTAAGAAGACTGCAGCAAACATCTCACTTTTCAGAAATGGTTACCTCGAGTAAAATGAACCATCTCCAGAATGAATCAAGATTTATTTTCGCATACATATCTTATGTCCGCAGTGGACTTCAAGAATTTTGCAGATTTACATCCAAAGTATAGTAAAATTATTTGCTCATGATCATTTGAGAAAAATGGATTGATGACAATCACCTTCAATCCCAAATAGAATATCCTCTGATTCTTTCTTCACAGAAACATCAGCTGAATTACTTATCTCTTCTATCTGTTTTTCCAGCAATGCATGAATATCCATATCCCAATCCATGCTATCAGCAATAGTTGGCAATGGCGAAGCAAACAAGCCACTTGAGGATTCCTGTGTACTGAAGAAAGCAGAAATTGTTGGATGTAGATTGATATTTTCTGTAGCTAATTTCATGATGGCACTTGATGGAATAGTCATTGGTCCTCCTTTATGGGCTTGGTGAAGCCATTTGATTGTGAAAGTACATCTGCAGTGGATCTTCTTTGAGTGTCTAACACGATTTACCTGCTAATTAAGGTGATTAGGATGTGATTTGACTTGCAACATAAAAACAATTGTATCAGAAGTAAATTTCATCCCATAAGTTCAAGGAAACATCACTATGCAGTGATGACTTAATAGAATTGATACTTCATTTCAGCCAAGTGCCAACATCATCACCTTCTGGCTTCCATAAAGTTTATGAAGCATGGTCATAGACAAGTTCACACATAATGGTTTAAACAGTAGTACATGGAGTCAAGAAAGAATACAACAAAAATAGCAAACTAAGCCCTTGTTCCCAATAAAGTCTAGGGTTGGCTCATAAACTTAAAAGAATACATAAAAAAATTGAACACTCTGTGTGGCACATCAGACGTGTCTCAGTTCGCCCGAGTGTGTGCGGGACACTGAAACTCCACCAAATAGTAGTGCCAGTGCTTCACTGCGTGGTACAGTCAAGAAATTGAATTGCAACTATAATCAGTAAATATCTAGTTTACACTGGCGCTGCAAGGTACTAAGTAGGAAAAAAATGAAGTAGAATGAAACGGAGAACAGAGACATTGCATATAGAGTTTCACAATGTGATTTCATTATTGATTAACATGACTGGCTAGTTATAAGCAATGTAGTCACCGCTTAATGTAAATGAACAGTTGGCCTTAGAATCAAGCAGTTTTTGATTCTATAGGGTCATAAGAAACTATAGCAATAGAAGCTAAAACACACATGAAAGCCACAATTTTTTCAATATAAAGCATAAATTAGTAATACACAAAGTATGTAGTAATTAAACTTTTTCATTGACATAATCCATGCACCAGCACTGAACAATTTTATGTTGAACGCTTTCTATAACGAAATACTTACAAACCTGAAAGGTGAGAAAGGGGTACCTGGTATTTTGACCACAGTCGTGCAGTTGAAGCGGAGGCACGTGTGTAAAAGATGATTAGATAACTATTTCTCTATCTAAATTCTAAGGACCAATTGGGAAAAAGATACTCAATGTTAGCATCTACAAGATCCTTTTTATATTAATAGTTGACAGATTTTCATCATCAAAAACATCAATCTTCTCAGTCTCCTGACTCTCCCCAAATGTGCAACAATATAATGCTAATTGTAAACAACGCAGTTATCCGAAATTCTAAATGCATTTAACAGGGACTGTGATATGAAACTACAACATTTTGCTCTCATCCACAGAACCGTATCATTGCAGATACTATAAGTAAACAAGCAATTTGATAAAAATGATGCTATGTTTTTTTTTTATACAATAAAAAGATACGACACTTTCATACGCTCAAGTAACCACTTGTTATTTATCTATCCCTATGTTTGAAGCGATGCCAATTTAAAGGATAAAAACTAGTATATTTTCCCAAAACTCACTTGAATACTTATATTTTATTTTTAATCAATGTTGCTTTGTTACTCAGCCTGGTATTTCATTTGATGGTTCCACATTAAAAGCAACACCTTTGAGTCCAAAATGTACCTCTTCCACCTGGGCGTCAAAGAAGAGACCCTTGACATGTGAATTATGAGTGGCAAGAACATGATCGCCCAGCTGGACAAGGGAACAGCTGTTGCCTTGTAAAGGAACAGAACGCACACGAAGGCGAGCAAGCACTTCCTCTTTATGTACTATTGTTTCTTCTGAATCAATGTCCCCATACTGTACAATAAGACCCAGTCCTGTAGTGCTGCACCAGTAAAAATCATGACTCTCTGCTTATGGAAAAATACAATCAAAGCAAGTCAAGTCAAGTGCTTTCAGCGATAACTCTTGATATTAGCAAAAAGGGGATGGCTGACATACTGGGAAAACCATCTACATTCTTACTTCTGAAAGATGACACAAAGGGATAAACACGCGTACGGTATACACATGCAATGATGCACACATACATTTATGCAGTAGCACAGATACATAGGCATATCTACGCATGAGTTTCTTCTAAGACTAATTCCTAACAAGAGCAAAAAGGGGATATTCATTTAAATCTTACCTCAAACATTAATATCCAGGGCCACCATCATTTGCCGATCAGATATGTTACTTGGAAGAAGAAAAACACAAACAAACATGTATTACACAGACAAATGCTTTGTTCATAATCACCCTTCTACGTCTCTGGAAGTTATATTATGGGCTTTAAATTTGCAAGCATGACCTCGCCTCCACATATTACATAAAGAAGAATCGGTTGCAAACATAAACATCCCGTTAAGCTTAGTAAAAATATGACAGAACAAATAATTATCAATGTTGATAAAATAATGTGTAGGAAAAATTTTGAACTGCAAATGGAATGAAAATACACCGATCACTTAATTAGGATTCTAGTTATACTAAACACAATAAAATTAGTAGTATGAGGAGTATTCATTTATATGGATCACGCATATTTACCGAGTTGTACTATCAAATGACATTCGAACTACAAAATGCTTTGATTAGGGAAAGCGGATAAAGAACCGACCAGAGAGAAACCTGGCAAGGATGCCAAGAGAAGTCTTCTTTGCGCTTCGCCTCGAGTTCGATGACGTCGTTTGCGGCACTATCGTTGCATCCGCCATTTCCCATTGATTGAAGTTTGCAGCAAACTATTTAGTCGTCGAACAATTCTAAGGCTTTTGTGGATTTTGTGAGAAACATATTGAGGGTTTAAGCAGCATCATCAGTCTACCCTCTCGCTCTCTTTCTCTACTCTCAATAAGTGACAGACCTGATAGTGCGCGGTGGTGCACACTGCACATGACACACCCATTACTGAGGGAATGTTTGGCTTAATGTTTGAAAATTTACTCACAAGTCCCCATCTGATTTCGATTTGGATAATTCTACATGTACATTATGATATACATTACGGTATTCATAATGGCCAAGTAACCTTTTCTTGTTGGCTAATGGACAAACAACTTTTTTCACCCCCCAATGATAGAAAGTCGCTTGGCCATGATGTATACCATTATGTATACTTTAATGTACTTGTAGCATAATCTATCTGATTTAGATAAGAATTAGATTTTGGGTACGTTAAAGTTACTGAAATGTGTGGTTTAAAACATAGGGTCAAGGGACCCCCACAAAAGTTTTTGACGTCTGATTTCTTTCTTTTGTCAAAAATTGTATAGTTGTCATTTACCTTTAATTGCGCACGTTTATAAACTACAATTTACTCTATATTGAAGAAAAGACCTCCTCCAATTTCAGATAAACCCTCTCCTAATTCTCAATCTCTATTCTTTAATAAGATATGGAATTTTTGTGCATGAAATGAAATGTTTTTATATTTATGTTTGATTTTCTCTCATTTTTCTTTACTTTTTCCTCTTGTTTTCCATCCAAATCTTTTCTCATCATTGAGATTTGTTTTGTAATTGAATTTGGGACTTCTATAGCCTGGCGTTGAGTGAAAGTAAATGAAGTATGTAATACGTAGCACGTACCACATTGTCGTTAATCATCCATGGGGTGTCATGCAGGCCATAAGAAGACGTTTGATCGCAATTTACTAGATCTTACCGCTCTTGGAGTGCCTGAGTTTCGTTCGAGTGTCGTTAAGGCTCCCGTAACGTGTCTTCTTTTGTTCTAGTGGGATCGGTGTTCGGAGCGATAAAATTCCAACTTCCATCTTTAAAAAAAGAAACATCCATAGATTCAATTAAAAAAAAACTCTATTAACTTATTTTCGCTATGTTATTTAAAAAAAAAATGTATTTTAAGTTTTGACCCCACAATACAAAAAATCTGACTCCACCCTTGGTCTAAAAATGAATAAAAATTGTAGATTGCATAAAATGTATGATTAAAAGTGATTTTTAGAAATGAGGATAGGATTGGGACTTCGCGACGATTTGATCATTGGTAACGTGAAATATGGCATTTATAAAGTCTCATTTGATTTTATTAAAAAAGTTGATAAAATTTAAATCAAAGATAACAATTAATTTTAATCTTACATTTTAATGAGATTCACAATTTTTAAAATTTTTCAATCATGTATTCCGTCAATTTTATTAAAATCAACTAAAAATTGATTTTTGACAAATCAAACAAGGCCTAAATTTTTATACAAATCACGTTTTATTTAGTCCATGTTTGATCCTCATTTTTGAGAAAATGTATTTTGAGAAAATGTATTTTGAAATATTTATTTTTTTGAGAATGTATGATTAAAAAATAAGATTTTTTTTTTTTAGATTTATTTGTAAAATTATTTCAAGAAAGAATGTATGATTGAAAATAAGTTTTGAAAAATTAGAGTCCAAACATGAGTTTTTTGTAATTTCTTGTAGACAGCATCCCCACCGTGGAGTGCAAACAAGAAGAAAATTTAACTGGGCACAAGTTCTTTTTTTTTTTTTTAATTTAATAATTACAAGGCTCATTGTCATGGTTTGAAGTTGTACGTGAATCATACAATCGATCAGCTAATAATCATAATTATAAAGATGAAATATTTATTGATGAAATCATATGGTTGATAAGATTTTTGCTAGAATTACAATTTTAATCAACTTATTGAAGTTGCTTGGCACTTTGGTTGAAAACGATCCCAAGATTTTGTTCTCCAATTCGAATGATACTTGAGTTCGGTTTATGATGTCATTAAACAGTTCTTTTTCATGAATATGATGACCACAACTATATGAATAATTTATACAAATATAATTAATTTTCTTGGTCGACCATTCGAAATAATTATTGGAGTTGGTTTTACCGATGATCACGTACCACCACTCAAAAGGCCAATTAAACTCATCCATGTTCACTTACGAAACTATCGGACTTGTCTCTTGCCTTCTGTTTATAGAAAGCGTGTTCATGACGTCAAATGACAAAATATATTATTTAGGGGGTGTATTCAATTAAGACTTTTGAAAACTTTGATGGACTTTTTTTTAGTGATGACTTCTGTATATTTCATGGATTTTTTTAGAGATTTGTATGGAATTAGTAGAAATTTTTTGTAAACTTATAGACTTTTATTTTAAAATTTTTAGAATTTTATGTAGAATTCAAACGATTTTTGAAAACGTTTATTTGAAATAGAATTTATGTGAATTTAGTGCAATATTGTGAAATTATCACAGACGAGGTGGTGATTCTCACAATTCCCCCTCTCCTTCATTTTCCCCCCATATAATAAAAGAATATTTTAAAAAGAATAAAATTTAAAACCTTAATTAAATAAATTATTATTATGATACATATAAAAAATAAATTAAATATTCAGTATTATTAATATAATATACCTTTAAAGAATAGATTAAAAAAAAATATATTTAAATTTAATTATAAATTAGCCTTTATAAAATTTTATAATTTAATTAAAAAATATATTTTTTCAGAAAAAATAAATGAAAAAAAATTTGTAAAAATACAATTTATTTTTTCTTAGAAAATAGAAATGAACAATAAGAGAGAGAAAATGAAAAATAAAAACTAATACAATCAATAGAAAAATTAAATTTTAGTCATGACTCTAATGCTAGTAAAAAGGAAAATGAAAGAGAAGTATTGAAAAAAAAAAACCAATTATTTTATTTTTTTGTGAAAGTCTCCCAAAAATCTTGTGATTAATGAGAAACAAATTGAGATTTTATTTTAGTACTTTCTACTTAAAAATTAGTTCCATGGAGACTTTTATAAAAATCTCTAAAAGTCATAAACATTTGAATAACTCGAGATATAAGAGACTTCTAAAAAGTTTTAATTAGGGGGTGTTTGTTTTTTATTCTCAAATTCTACAATAAATCAATTCTTATTTTCAACCACACATTTTTCAATAAAGTAATATTTTCCATCACATCAATAATTTTTTCTTCTTTTTCAACGTCACATTTTCCATCATATCACTATTCAAAAATCAATTCTTCCTCCAAAAATTCCTACCAAACAAGCACCTAAATACACTGTAACTTTTAGAAACTTTTTAAAAGTTTATAAAAGTCTCAATTGAATATACCAATACTTTTAGAGAGTTTCCAAAAGTTTACATTGAATACCCCTAAACTTTTTAAATTTCAAAAAGACATTCCCTGTTCGGGAAGGATTAAAAGCCAATTAAAATTGAAAATATGGCCGTTATTGGGTCCCACTCGTCTAATAAAAGTCAACATTAACTGCTATATTTTCAATTTTAATCCGATTTTAATCTCTCACATACAAGGCCTAAAAGTCTCAATTGAATACATCCCGAGTTTGCATATTGGCTAGATAAAGCAAAATGTGTAAAACATGGTTTTGGATTCTAAATCTCAATCAGTTACCTTCTAATAGCAAAGAAAACACATGGTTTTGGATTCTAAATCTAACAGTTATTTTCTAAATAGCAAAAGAAAAAAAAAAAAGGAAGCTCACCGATGAAAATGCAACACGTATAAAATCGAACCCACTTTTCGGTTTCATTAGAGGAAAATCTTTTGGGACCTTATCCTTGCGATTAGTGGGGTACCTCAAGTCAAACCACTAGAGACGGACAGTAATGTTAGGTTAGCTTGGTAAAATTTTTCAAAAGTTAAAATTATTTTAAGATTAAAAGTTTAATTTAAATATATTTAAATATTTTTTTAAATGTATTTTATCTGATTTATGGAGCTTTTTAGAGAAATTGATCTATGAGCGGCCTTGATAACATAGATAAAGAAACATGTTGACCAACTTCAAATTATGCGAAGTGGAAATTACATTTTAGCCGAATTTTAAAGACCGCTATTCTTAAATCACGTACGAAGTTTATTTGGGCAAAAATAATGTATTCAATCAAAATTACTCACTTTCTTCTCATCGGTCGTTGGTTTCTCTCTTCATTGGTATGAGCGTCGGTGATGCTCTGATCCGACGAAGCTCAATCACCACTACACGCAACGGCACAACGACCAATTCCTCGGCTCAATGCTTTTCGTGTATTGAGCTTCAATTGAGTGCTCGTCATTAAACTCCTGCTTGGTGGTCGTGGGGTAGAGAGAAACTTGTGCAAGATTTTAGGTGATGGATGTGGTTGTGGTTTGGTTAAGGAGGTTATGATTTTATATTTGATATGGTGGCGATAATGGTGGTTGTGGTGGAGGCGATGCTTCTGCTTTTAAAAGGGGCAGGCCATTAGATGGTTTTGTTGTTGGTTTTGCAAATGGGCGTAGTGGTGATGGCCATAGATAATGTTTGCAAGTCACATTTCACAATCTACAGTTGGTAATGATAAGTCACAAGTCACACTACCAGTCACATGTAATGATAAGTCACAAGTCTCCTCAGCTGTAGCGGCGGACTAGCCGGAATCTCCCCATCCGCAGAGTGTTTTACGGCCTCCACGAAAGATCGTCCTTGTTTAAACACGATTGCCAGTGCTACAGGTCCCGCTGACGTCTCTCCCATCGTGTCCGTCGTTACCGAAAGACCCGTCCGTGGGGACGTCGTCACTCCTACAGCAGCAAGAAAGAAAACGCTAACAAGTGCCTAAATCACCCAAATCGCCCAAAATCGCCTCTTAGATTTCTAGCGTATACTCATATTTGTTACCTTTGTAATACATTCCTAAAAATCTACTTGTAAAGCAATACTTAATCAAAAAAAGAGGT